GAGGGCGGCCCTGTGCTCGCGGGCCCGCCGGCCAGCCGGCGCGGGGCGGAGGCGGGAAGCAGTGCTCGGGCCCGGCGCTCTGGGCGGCGGCGGCCGCGAAGCAGCAGTGTCGGTGCGACGTGGAGGGATGGAGGCAGCGATGCACTAGGCCTTGTCTGGGGCTGCCGGCCGGGACCGCAGGTACGTACGGGCTCCGCGGCCCCGCACGGCCGGACCCACCCTCGCGGGGACCCGGAGCGGGGAGGACGGGACCCCACCCCCGTCTCTTCTCGCGGCCCGCGGCCGACCGAATTTCCACTTCCTTCTGGACCGGTCCTCCTGGGTCGGACGGGCGGCTGTGCTCCCGGCTCCTGGCCGCCGCTCGCACCGCTCTCGCCCCCTCGCTCCTCTCCCGGCTCCGGATCTAGAACTTGATCACTCCTCACAGATAATGACCCCAAACTTTCCCTCTCTTCTTCCAGCTGGGCCTGAGGCCCCCTTTCATAGCCTCCTGAATTAAGAAAAAACAAAATCCCCCTCTGGAGAATACTGACCCAAAGAATACCTCGGTATTTTGCAGTTTGGCATTGTAGTTAGCAGTAATTCAGTTTTTTTTCCAATTGTGCTTCCCACTGTCTGCATATATACAAAGGCAATCCCTTCCTGCCCTGCTGTCATTGTTTGGGAACTTTTCCTGACCATTGTAATTAGCCACTTGGCCTGTCCATGTGTGGTTCAGGGTGGTATTAGGATTTTGGCCTACCAGAGTTGCAAAATGTTTTTAAAAATTATTTTCTAACCAACTTTAGTTTTTGGTCTTTACAAAGACTTTTACTTTCGAAGAACTTCATTGGAGTGTTTCTGTTTCTAATTGATTCCATTTCTGATTTATCAAATACAGTGTAGTCTTAATAATAAAAGTTCACTGGGCAAGTAATACCATGATACTTTATTTGTGGTATATGGAAAAATATGTAGTAACTTAAGCTTCCGATTTGGATGGACATTGAGCTTTATTAATGGGGAGTTCTAATTGGAAAAGTATCTTGATAGCCTAAATGATTTCCTAGCACAGAACAGATGGAACCATGGGGTTTGTTTGTATTACAGTGAGTTTGATTCCCTAGAAATCATTATTGCTCATGATAGATTTGGATAAAATTGATCAACAGTGTAAATTGATAGTTGCGGTTTATGGGATTAGATGCTTGCAATTTTATTGTGATTTGGCTATTTTAAAACTGTGTTCTGGCAACTTTAGAATTGTTTACAGTACCAGTCTGCTCACCACAAAACTGTAAACACTGGCCATGTTTTGTTGTTGATATTCATGCATTTTGTTGTTGCTGTAGTATTGTTACTGCAGCGTTTGGCTTTCTAAAATGTTTTTCATTATTTTCAAAATTATGACTGGCAAAGTTATCCAAAGTTTACTAGGAAAGGATGATTAAATTTGCATGTGTTTATGTTTTTGGAAAAGTTAAATTTTATTTCTGGATAAGATAATTTTTATTCAAATCAAACCTTATGTAACTCATGAAAGGACAGTTTACATTTTTTTTTTTTTTTGTCTTTTTGAGACAGGGTCTCCTTGTAGCCCCAGCTGTCCTGGAACTCACCATGTAGACCAGGCTGGCCTTGAACTCACGGAGATCCACCTGCCTCTGCCTGGGAGAGCTGGGACTAAAGCCATGCGCCACCACACGTGGCTGCAAAACTTGTTCTTAATCACACTTCATTTCCAGTCAATAAAGTTCATAATAATTTCTTTTTTCTGTTCTTTTAAAAAGCAGCTTTATGGAGTTATTAGCATACATAAGCTCAATTTAATTGTGGTCTTTTAGTTTTATTTTTTTAACTATCGGGGATAGAACCAAGGGCCTCTTGCAGGACAGGCAACAAGCTCCACATCCCACACAAGTTATATGAAAGACCCACATTAAGCAAATGTTGAAGTAGAAAGTAGACTAGTAGTTGCCTGGAGATGGGTGGGTGATCTGGGGAGAGTGGGGAGTAACTGCTAATGGATACAAAAGGGTTAGGGAGAGGGTGTTCAAAAACTAGGTGATGGTGATGGTCACTCTTCTCAATAAATATACTGAGCACCCCCTGCGGGTCTTTCATATAAACTGTGTGGACTCATAGCTTTTTGAAAACTTACTCTTTTTAAAAATATTTTATTAGTTTTATGTGTGTGACTGTGTTACCTGCATGTATGTAAGTGTACCCATGTTGTGCAATGCTTGCGGAGGTCAGAAGAGGGGTTTGGATCCCCTGGAACTGGAGTTATGGACAATTATTAGCCTTCATGTGAGTGCTGGGAATCAAACCTGGGTCCTCTGCAAGAGCAGTCAGTGCTCTTAACCACTGAGCCACCTCTCCAGCCCCTGAAAAGTTATTCTTTTAAAATCAATTTACATTAAATATTTGTATTTGTATTATCAAATAAGCGACTGATCCCAGAATTAAAAGGGGCATTGTAAGCAACTGATGGTTGTGCCAATATAAAGTTTGCAGAAAGAAGAACAAATGAATGGCCTTAGTGGCCTTGGAGTTAATTTGATGAGCTGAGGGTCAGTGGAGTATTTTTGTTACTGGATACTGGAATATGAAGTGGGAAAGACCTTAAGGGTCATCATTGGCTTATTTCTTGCTTCCCTTACAAATAGCAGAAACCAAAGGAGGAACTCTAAAGGGCAGAAACTTGAATTTCCAGAATACTTGGCCCAAGAACCACCAAGTACTTGGCCATGCAAAGTGATAAGTGGGGCGTGGGGGGTGTAGTGATGAGCTGGATGCTAGATATTTAGATTGTATGTATTTGATGTTATGCTAGCATAACTAGGGAAGAACTGATTCCAACTTTAGGGAAAAGTGCTACACGGTTGTCTATGGAGATGAAATCCATGTTGTAAAATCTTCTAAAAATGTTTGAACTTTAAAGCATGACAAATATATTTAGATTTTAATTATAGTGTTAACATATTTTTAAAGCTAAAAAATTATAATTAACAGGCTTGTTTGGAGGTTTCCTATTTAGGTCCAGAGTCCTAAGTCTAAAACAATGGCTCTCCAGGTGTGATTTTGCTCTCCATAGAACTTTGAGAGTGGCTGGAGGTGGTTTTGTTCTTCACAATAGAAGGGGAAGGTTGTTTCTAAGTGTTGTATAATGCACAGGACATACCACATCCTTCCCCCCTCCCCTAAACAAAGAATAATCTGACTCAAAATATCAGGAGCACTGATTCTGGTAAGGCTAGTGTTATGGACTCTCAAGGTGTTGTTTGGTGGATTAGAGTAATACATTAAATTACCCAGCAACTCTCTTTTTAAAAATATATTTTGGGTTTTATTTATTTTTATTTTATGTGTATGAGTGTTTTGCCTCTGTGTATGTAAGTGCACTGTATCATGCAGTGCCCACAGAGGCCAGAAGAGGGCGTCAAATCCTCTGGAACTGGAGTTGTGGAGTTAGCGTCATGTGGGTACTGGGAACCAAACTCAGGTCCTCTGCAAGAGCAGCCAGTGCTCTTAATCTCTGAGCCATCTCTCTAACCCTAAAAACCCTCTCTTTACAGGGGCTGCAGCTAAGGGACAAGCAAAAGGAAATGATTTCATGTAATGTAGATATAATTAGTCTGTTTAGTTGTTTTCAAGTCGGAAGAAAAGTATCCTTTTCCCCTCAAAATGACAGCCTTATATTACTGCAAATTTGAATTATCATTATGTTTTGAGTTGTTGGTCATTACTACACAAGTTTTTGAAATTAGAAATAAACATACAGTAGTATCATCTTCTGTAGCAAGAGTGATCCTCCATACACCATTGCCCCATGGAAAACTTTAAAGAGGATATTGCCATTAACTAAGCTTAGAGAAATTTTGACAGGTGTAAGGGCGTGGGTAAAATTGGCAAACAAACTAAAAACAAAAGAAAAAAAAGGAAGGCATAAGTAATAGTTGTAAGAATAAATATTGTCTATCAGTACTTGGTAAGAGGAAGAAAAGGAAGAAAGGACTGGGTAATGAATGAAAGGTAACAGTGAGATAATTTGTTTCTTTTTACATCGAAGAGGCTCTGTAGTACAAGAGCAGAAGCATGGAATTTAGCATCACACAGTTACCTAAGTATTTTGAAGTTGTGAAGTTTGTTCTTGAACCTATTTCTTATATAATGGGCATCATTGATTCATTCACTAGATTTGCATTTATCTAAATGGAGGCAAGCATTCATGAACTGCGCAGTGTTTAGTCAAATGTTAGTGATGTACTTTTTCTACTGTTTTTGTTTTGTTTCCTGACATCCTTTTTTTGTTCGTTAATAATATATTTTCACTTCCTTCTTGATCTAGGACTTCAGAGAATCATTATAACTAGATATAGGAGTGAAGCAATCTAGTTTTTGCCCATGTCTCAGCTGATCTCTTTCCTAAGTTTCTCCAAGATAAGGACATTTGACACAGGGTGTGCAGCAACTAATTCTTCTAGGTCAGCTTGCTCAAGACTTGCCCAAGTCCTGTCTTGATGTTAAGTTGCCCTAGAATGCCTCATAATCCCTGAGTTTCTTGATTCGTTTATTCTCTTTTCTCTCTGTTCTCTGAGTTCATCATTTTCCAATAGTCTCCCTTTTACAGGCATGCAAGGAAAACCACTTCTATGATCTATTTTTCTTCTTTTACTCAGTTGCTGCTTCCTGTCTCCATGAACTCTCTTTCTGTTTCTCTCTCTCTCTCTCCCCCCCCTCTCTCTCACACACACACACATATACACACACACACTCTGCG